GCCCCCCCCGCCTTGTGCCCCCTCGTGCTGGGGGGGTTTGTTAGTTTGGCTCCAGCCACTCCACTTGCACTCGGGGTCCCCCGAGTGTCTTTTGCCCGAGTGCGAGTGGCTGCAGCAAACTAACAATCCCCCGAGCTGCAGGGGCACAGAGGCGGCGGGCGGCATCCAAGTGCGCAGCCGCCTCCTCCCCAGGCTCCAACTTTCCCAGCTCCCGCCGCTCTCCACCACAGCGGGGGCCGAAGCAACTCCCCCAGCGCAGCAGCAGCTGGGGGGGGGGGTAAATGCGGGGTGCTCAGGGGAGGGGGCGGAGTTGGGGAAGGGGCAGAGTTGGGGCAGGGCCGGGGCCCCGTGGAGTGTCCTCTTTTTACAGTATTGAAATATGGTAACCCTATCTATGGATGGCATCTGAACATAGGAAGATTGGATCAAACAAGGTAGCCAGGTAAGATTCAATTTTCTTTCCAACTTGTGACACCCTTACTTATGGGATTTGGTTGGTTGGGGGTAGGGAGGGCATATGTCTGGTCTACACTATATATACACACAATATAAGGCAGCTTATGTCGACTTAACTCAGTAAGCATCTACACTAAAATGTCACTCCCACGGATGTATCTTGCCCACTACACTCAGGCTACATCTACACTACAGGGGGGAGTCGATTTAAGATACGCAAATTCAGCTATGTGAATAGCATAGCTGAATTCGACATATTGCAGCCGACTTACCCCGCTGTGAGGACGGCGGCAAAATCGACCTCTGCGGCTTCCTGTCGACGGCGCTTACTCCCACCTCCGCTGGTGGAGTAAGAGCGTCGATTCGGGGATCGATTGTCGCGTCCCAACGGGACGCGATAAATCGATCCCCGAGAGGTCGATTTCTACCCGCCCATTCAGGCGGGTAGTGTAGACCTAGCCTAACTTAACTCCACCTCTGCGAGAGGCATAGCACTTAGGTCGACATAGTTAGGGCAACACAGTGTCAGTGTAGACACTGCATTGTTTACATTGCCTGTTGCTGCCTTTCAGAAGCTGTCCCACAATGCCCCACACTGACAGTTAAATCGGTGCAAGTGCTCCTAGTGAGGATATGCACTACCGATACACGGAGTGTGGTGTGGACATGCAAAAGCAATTTAATTACTGCGGAGGCTAGAAGTCGATTTAACTCTGTAGTGTCGATTTGCCCAAGGAGTCGTGTTTCTAGGATCAGAAGCTTTCACGGGTTATGTACAGTTGGCTAATTAAACCAAAAGTTGACTAAGGCACTAAAGAGAAGGTTTCACTAGAGTTGTGCTTTTTTTCTTAGCCTTCTGTTAAATAATGATAAACACTTCAATTAAGCTAACCCATACGAACATAAACATCATGAGTTTATTCTGCAGTTGTCCAAATGCATTTGTAATAATAAAATACCTATCTTATTGCCACATCAGATCAACACTAAAAACGTAACCGTTGCTCATCAAGAACACTTGCAACTGCTGTATAAACTGTTACGTGAACATAGGCTACTAGACAAGTTGTCTTCAACAGAATGAAAAGAAAAAACTTTAATCAGAGTGAAAAAAAAGTCAGTATCTATCTCACAGCTTAGTATAAAGAGATACTCTTGGGGGAATTCTGTGCCACTGCGCATGCGCAGAATTTATGTCCCCTGCAGATTTCTTTGCTTCTCCACAGAAAAATGACTTTCTGACGGAGAAGCAAAGGGAAGCCACAAGAACAGTTATGCGACCCTCCCCAGCAGTACGTTTCGGGGGCCCAGAGCAGCCGGAAGAAAGTAAATCACTGTGTGGCAGGAAGTGGGACTGGGGAAGACCCAGTTGGTAGCTCCTACCCTTCCCCAGGCTCAGTTGCTAGTCCCGACTGGGCGGACAGGACTTCCTCTTCCTTTGCACAGCATCCGGGGCCGAGTCAGACCCACCCCCAGATTTCTCCTCCACCTGAAGGAAGCTCTACAGCCCCCTCCCCCACGCTTCCTGCACCCATTGCTCCTCAGCTGCAGGGGGAGGGATCCCTGTACAGGGAGCTGCTTCCCCATACGCCCAACCCCTGTGCCTCCAGACCCCCTCATACCCAGACCCTCCCACCGAGCCTCACCTCCCTGAACTCAGAACCCCTCCTGATGAGCCCCACTCCCCCTGAACCACCCCAACGAGCCACCCGCACCCGGATCCCCCACCCCACCATGCCCCAACCAGCTGCATCTGGACCACCCACACCTCCCTGCCAAGCTCTCTTCCCCCCACACCCAGACCCCCCACACTGAGCCCCAACCACCTTCACCTGGACTCCCCTGCAGAGTCCCATTACCATTGCACCCAGAACCCTCCACAGGCCCCTGTGCATCCACATCCCCCCCCACCCAGATCCCCCACTGAGCCACCCGCACCCAGATTGTCCCACACAGAACCCTCTCAACCCACACCTGGATCCCCCCACACACTATGCCCCTCCACACTTGGATCCTGCCTTGCTGAGCCGCCTGCCCACACCTGGTGAACCTGGCATGGAGGTGCAGGGCCCTGGAGTGTTTCTGGGGCAGGCCCGGTTCTTGCGCTGTGTCAGAATTGGGTGCAGCCTCACAGCTGAGTCTGTGTCCCGGGGGAGCTGAACAGTGATCTCCCACCTTTGTGCAGCCAGTGGCCTGTGCTTCCCAGTGCCATGCTGGAGCCTCCACATTTATTTGACAAATAAAATTTGCAAAATTTTAAAATACTGTGCATAGAATTTTTATTTTTTTGGCACAGAATGCCCTCGGGAGTAAGAGAGTCTTCAACGAACTGCACTCTAATGAGAAAAGAAAACAAACTTTCCTTTACAAACAAAAGTAGGTCTACAATGGAAAAACAACCATCTATCCAGACACAACCCTGGGACTGGTTGAATCAGGTTACCTGTCTCCAAAGTCCACTTCTATTAGAACTAAGTACACAGTCACCAAAAGTGCCTAAGGAAAATTGAGGTTCATACCATCTGACATTAGAAAATACAAGGACATGCATAAATGCAGAAACTCTCTATATTAAAAATAATAATCTAAAACCACTGTATTTCTTCAGTCCCAGTACTGCAATCAGATCCACAAGTGGACCCTTGGACCCATGCAGAGGGCCAGTGAATTGTCATCACTAGGGCTTCATACAGCACATGATGCTACCTACAGCGAACTGATTGCAGGACTGGGGAACAATTTTGAGTTCTAAGTAGGCACCTCTACAAACAATATCCCAAACATATGGAGTAAAGATTTAAACTTTAAATATGTTCAAAAGATTCATTTCCTGCATCACTAAAAATAGACACATATTCCTTAAAACCAAGGCACTATGATTTTTCTTTTAAAAAATAATTAAATTGGTAACTTGTCTGTAGTTTTATACAACATTAAGTAATCTTGAAAAGAGAGACTATTTATAGATCCATTAAAAAATATATGTAAAATTGCACTGAATGAATTTATTCTCCAGATAACACACCAAGTCCTCTATGTGGACATAGTACAGGACAGAAGTAATACTAGGATATATCAGTGCATACTAAATTTTAGATTTCATTATGCATGAAGACTGTGTTTCAATGTACAGTTAAAACTTAGACACTTTAGTATGCTCACATGTTATATTAATGCCATCTAACTAAATTTCAATTCTTTATCTGCAATGCCATCCTCATATTAGGTGAAGACATCAAATATATCACAAAATAGTCTACATATATCTGTATATTTGAAGCCTTTGGTTTCAATTCTAAACTATTCTGACATATTGTATAAACACCAGTCTCTAAATGAAAACATTAACATGTCACTGAAACTACACTGTGCTAGTAAATTATGCCCTGTTCCTCTCTAAAATCTTACCAAAAGCTACCTGACCTAAACACCATCAAACTGAAGCCAAGAGACATGATTAAATATTGTGTGTTTGGTTTAATTTGAGCCCTCAGACCCAATATAACCTTTGCTCTTCAAATACCAAGTGGGTCTACTAAATCTAGCAAAGTTTTTGCATTTTGTGTCACCCCTAGGTTAGTTCAGTTACAAGCTTTTAGATTTAGCTATCCTAAATTTATAAACACCGTGAGAAATAGTTATGAAAATAAAAGGATAACTCACTTCACTGTTGAGGATCTTAGTTAGATGGAACACCAATATTCCCCTTGTCCCCGTGTGTCCTGCTTTGATGAAAATACTGTGTATGAAAACAGATTATTTTTAGACTCAGTATGTGAAAGCACAGTACTTCCTGCCTCAGCTCCACCTTAAAAACTACACAAACATTCTCTTTTTGATTTCTACAACTAGTATTTCATAACCCCTACTATCAAATGCAATGGAGGAGATGTCGAAGGGACAAGGTGTTAGAAACTTGAAATGTCAATTCCCTAGTTCATAACTCAGCACAAAAAAAGTTTGGTTAAAATACACTGTCACTCTTAGGCAATCAGGTCATATTAAAACAAAGGCATTTTTATCTATCACAGCTATGAATAGACTAAAATATTTTTATTTATAACACTGATCTTTTCCATAGCAACAGGATGTGAACATGGCATTCCCAGTGTAATGAAGTCACTATAGCAACATGATAATGATGTCAGAATAATCAGAAAGTATTTCATACTTAGGAAATGGTGTGCCACACTAGCTGTGTATAAATTAAAAAGTTACAGATACTGTAGAATCTAGCCTGTTCTGCTTTAAATTTCTCTTTCACTTAAAACTCACAGAAACAACATTAAGGTATATAGAGTGTTTGATTATTAATATCTGTTTCTTAGTGACTTCAGTCCTTATTGTCTCACAATTTCAGAAACTTCCATACTAAACATATTTCGCCTCTTGAGGAGTCTGCCATGGCCAACTGGATAAAGAATCAAGTGCTATTCCATTAACAAAGGAGAATTTTTTCAAAATATTACAAATCAAAACAGGGCAGTTCACAATTCAACCCTGGTCTTCCTCAAATAACACAATGAGTTAGATTATTTGATGCTGTTAAGTTCAAACACATTTGGTGCCACATTTTAGACTGCGAACAATACACAAAGCCAAAATTACAAACTACCACTCTGGTTAAAATCAATTTAATAAATACAAACACAAACAAGAAGTTGTGGTACCACATTTACAGATGAAAAATCTGAAATGAACGAATTTTTAAAAATCTGGTTTTCATTACCTGTGGTGTTTGTTTACTGTTTGCAGTTCATTCCAATATATGACTAGAACAATGAAAATAGACAAGTCAGTTTCATTTTTGTTTCTAGTCAATTTCAATTTCTGGTTCAGACATTAACACAAGACTGCAATGCTTGGTTACAATCATTGCAATGAAAGATTTAAAGGCAAACTCAAAATGATCAGCAATTAAGTTTAAAAAAATATACTGGCAACATAACTATAGCTATGAGGTTTTGTCAAGTTTCCTAAACACAAAAATACCCACAAAAGTTTGAGCTAAACAGTGTGCCTTTCACCATGAATCATTTTTGCAGTTTGATGAAGGGGGAAAAATTAAATTTGATGGTGTCTGGAGGCATATAATAGTTTTTCTACTGAATATTACTGGAAAGACTACCCTGTTGGTAATTCTTGTGGTAGTCAGCTCCCTATTTTAAAAGTTTTAGAGTGATGTAGCTGATTTATTGGGCATGGGTTGTTTTACATTATGTGATGTTTAAAAGTTTCAGTGCCGAGCAGAAGTACATTCTACGTACATGCCAAAGTTAACCAAGAAAAAATTCTGAAAGATTCCTACAAGTCAGAATTTAGCTATCAATAATGAAAGCAGCCCTTGAAATATATACTTTGATGTCATATACTACCCAGACTTGGAGGGCTGTAGCTTACAAAATCGAAACAACCCCGTTCACCCTCACATTTAAATAGAAGACTGACAGAAGGCAAGGAGAGAAGACCATCCCCCCTAGAATGACACCTTCAGAAAAGTGACACTGTAATAAAACGTTTGAAAATAGGAAGCACTATGAAGATACGACCATGCAAATGAAAGATGATGCTCTTTTCCCCTTTCACCCACTGCCCAAAATAGCAATCCAAAGCTAGCTTGTTGCTCTGAATGCCTTGATAATTCAGGTAACATTTGTTTTGTTTTTTGTTTTGATTTAGGGCTACAGAAAACTTTAAACCCATGTTGGAGAATAGTTTACAAACTGCTCAATGGCCCTTCCCAAACTTTCCTCTTCAAAGTCAGAGAGAAGGAACAGGAAAATAAACTCTCAGAATCTAACATTCAGACACCCAAATCCAAGTATCATCCACCCCAAATAGATCTTTCTCACACAGACCACCTAAGCCTTGTCTCACATATTAGCCCCAAGTTATCTTCAAAGACAAGGGATGAGAGAACTACAACAGCCTTTTATGTCCCCTTGCAATGTCTATGGGAGCAGTGAGATGGCCTGCTCCCCTTCAACTTGGGTTCCTTGGCTCCCTCTTCAGTCTGGGCTGTAAAGCCTCTCTAGGACTGAGAAACACCCCAGACTGCATGGACCAGTAAGAGAACTGCAGGATTTTCTCAGGCCCAATTATACCATCTGGGGAGAGTTTCTGCTACTGCAATACTGAACGCACCAGTACTGAAAAGGCAACAAGAAGCGGTAAAGAGTTGAGGAGCGAAGTGAGTATGCCAGGATCAAGACAACTTCACTCCCTCCTCCCTCCACACACCCCAAAATAGGGAAGTGCAGCATCCTTGGCGTCTGACTGTCCCCACATCTGGGGGACTGAGAGACGCTGGGGAATTCCTGGTTTCACTTCCTCCATTACCATGGCTAGCATATATTAGGTGGGTCTAGGAGGTGTGAGAGAGTGGCTGATGGCAGCAACTCACGGAATGCACTAAACTACCCTGCTAGCTCCCATGTGTGGCATGGGCACTGCCAACAACGGGTCAGGCCATCCCAAATATGCCTGACGCCAGCCAAGTTCAGTTCCAACAAGGCAGATGCATGCCCCATGCCTAGCCCCAGGAAATCACAACAGAACCATTTTTATGGGAGAGAGAGAGAGAACCGCTGCCTGGCAGCGC